ACGCCGGTGGCACACACCTGCTCTTCCTCCTCCCCCCCCTATCTTCTGCCAACCACCTCCTCCTCCTCCCCTTTCTCTGCCACCTTCTCCCACACCTGCTCCTCCTCCTCCTCCTTTCCCCCTTGTCGGCCATTTCCTCCTCCTCCCTCCTCCTCCTCATCCTCCCCTTTCTCCGTCAGTTCCTCTCCATGCTGCTCCACCATCCCTCTCCTCATCGGCCATCTTCTCGTCTGCTGCGTTTTCCTCCTGGCCCTCCTCCTCCGCCACACGCCCTTCTCTCTCCTCCTTCCTGCGCCATGTCCTCCTCCTAACCCTCGTCCTCCTCTGCCATCTATGCGGCCAAGAAGAAGGGGAAAAAAAAGACATAAGCCCAACTGGCCTAACTCAGTTGGTACACACAGACCCGCTGAGTTCAAACTCCACTGGAACCAGATGAGTGAAACACTACGATTCCTAACCAGGACACTCGGTTGGACACTCCGTTAGGAGAGTGTCAAGTAATAAGGAACACACAGTTCCACCCTGTCTCTTATACACATCTAGATGTGTATAAGAGACAGGCCTTGAGGTAGGTATGACCTAATTCACCCCGTCTGTGAACCTTCTGTAACCTGTGTTTTTTTTTGTTTTTGTTTTTTTTCGGATTTCTTGAAAACCTGAATCTTTAACCCTTATTTGTCTTGAGTCGGTCCTAACCCTCAATCCTTTTCCACCTAGCCTTGGCTTTACTTCCTCAAGGAAGGATGTACCACCCTGTACCCCTATCTAAGCTATCCTGTATTATTTAAAAATTGCTTTATACTGCTAGTCTGAAAAATCCTGACTTTTGGGATCTGTAAATCCGCTCCTTAGAGCTGAGCCTGCCTGTTCCTCTCTGCGTCTTAGCTGTCTATATTGCTTCCCTTTGCTGGAACTACTAGCTCGGTGTAGTTCTAATACCTTGCTAAAATCCTAAACCCTGTCCTATTGGTTGCTGAATGCTCTACTAGAGCCCTCGCTCCTAGTTGACTTTTCCTCTCTCCTCTGAGGGGTTTGCTGACTTTTCTACTAAGACCTTAGATTCTTGCCTGCCTTTTTTTTTTTTTTTTTAACTATAACAAGCAGATGCCCACCGTGGCTACGCCGCCGCTGGCGCACACCTGCTCCTCTCTCTCTTCGTCCCACCTTTTCCTCCGCCCGCTCCTCCTCCTGTTCCCCATTCTCTGCCACCGCCTCTCTGTCCTGCTCTCACGCCTGCTCCTACCGTCTTCACCCGAACATAACGCACTCTGATAATGAATGTATACATGCTACATTTCCCGTCAGGTACAGCCAAAATGAGGGAGCATTGTATTCGGGGGGCGAAGGTAGCACAAGTAAAAATGGCTGAAATGTCTACTGTTAGAAAAATAGCAAAACAACCCAGGACACCAAGAGCTAATCCAAAATCACCTACTCGATTCACATGCGCCTCTCTCTACCTC